TAGTTGCGAGAGAGAAAATGAACGGGTGAACATATGTCATGTATAGGTAATAAGTTGCAACAGCATCAGAGACAGAATACGAGGCCATTGTCTGCAACATGGACAGAAATAAGATATAAGCACCCAATTTCAAGGAAGCACTGCATCGACTAGAAAATCCACATTTGCTGGAAGGTATCAGTCACAACATCTACGCTCGCTCCTAAATTTTGTGTACTGATAAGAGATGGTGTTAAACAAGAGCAGGAGAACATTTCTTCAACCCTTGCAGAGACAATCAGTTGAATTACTAGATCAAATATCGTCATACTCTACCCCATTCCAAAGCAATCAAACTACTACTCCAGTTCGTAAGAACCTAATTAATTTTATCAGCAGTACCTGTGGTTTTTCCATGGCAAACTGAACCATGTCTTCTGGGTTCACTTCCAGTGGATCATAGCCCAGTTTCGCCTTTGTAACGGCCTGGCGTTTAATTAAGAAACGAGCATAACTCAAAACATATTCTGAATTCCTCTAAAAGGAGACATAAGAAATGGATAAACAATAGCCAAGAGAAGCCAAATGAACCTTCAGACCATGGCTTCCCTGAGGAAGATAGCTATCCCGTTTCACCCAAGCAAAACAATCTAAGTGGCAAACGAATTTAGCTCGACATTCCCCTTGATTCTGATCACAACGGAATCCCAACTCCTGCAACCATGGGAAAGAAAATAAAATATACCAGCCAACTGTGAAATCATACTTGAGACCACATTATGCTCTAAATAAGATAGAACTGAAGAGTAAGATGCAGAGAGAAAAAAAGACAGAAAAAAGAGCGATGCATGTTTTTGACATAGAACTGAGAACAGAACCAAAGTTCAGAATGAGTGGCACCTGCCATTCTCAGAAGACTTCAGTGTTCAAGCGCAATAACATGTCACTCAAGATGTATATTTATATTTCACGGAAGATGACAAACAATATGGAGAAAGTAGGTATGCAGAAGACGATGTAGGAAGATCTTAAGCAGTGATACTGTTCTATCTTTAAGCAAAAGAACACTCAAAAGGTCACAATAGAATGTCAGTAAAACTGTCACAAACTTTTTCAAACAGAAGTTCTAAGTATATCATTTACTTCCTTTAAGTCACACAGACATGAAATTTTAACAATACCACAATGAAGGAAACGTGTTGCTTACCTCATTCATTTTGATATCATGATGGGATGCTCTCCGTTCGATAAATGGCCAGTCGAAAAAATCACCGTTATAAGTAACATAAATACCGGGTTTAACCTCTTGCATATGGGAAAACCATTTTCGAAGGAGTTCAACCTACAATACAAAACCAAGAAAGAGGTTTGATTCTAAGTACATCAGTGTTTCAGATATAATTACTCAAATCCAGACCTAATTTACCTCGTTGATAACGTTAGTGACTTTGAAATATCCTTCAAACTCTGGTTTGGGTGAATACTCCAAATCTTCTATGTCTTCGCCAACACACTGGTTTAAAATGAAAAATACTACGTGTGTAATCAAACAAGATTGAAGTAGTTCAAATTTTTATAGGAAAATAGAGCTGCGATATAAATCAGAATTGACAATGGCATGCAATGAATTTTTTAACAAATCAAATATCATGTTTTGAAAACATAGAGAAAAAAGGCTACACTAGACCACAAACAATCTTAATGCCACATCATGCAAAATCAGTCAGGTAAAGAAACACTGCAGTTGTGAGCTTTTCCTCTACTGATTGCTTGACATAGTCTAAAATATGACAAAGCACATCAATCATCTCTTTTAATGATTTGGAAATCATGCTCATACATCACGTATGATATTATCATCTATTAAATCATATTCGATACATAAAAATTGACATAGCAGTTACCTCTCTGTTGACAATTAGAAAACCTTGCCCATCGACCATGTAGGATATCATCATAATTTGATCATATTCAGCATCCGGAAACTTCAACTCAAGCTTAGTTGTCTCTATATCGAATGCACAAACACGGACTTCTGCGCGCTGGAGAATATCTGTCCTCTTCTCTAGTGTGACATCGGTGCTGGAAATACTGACATTGTACCATTGCCCACTCCGCACATCTAGACACCAAGAAAACGTCATGTTTTGCCAATCTTTAGGACTAATAGAAAATTTAATTGTAAATAAATATGTTACCTTTATCAACTGCAAATCGAACATGATAAGGAACATCGTACTCGCGGAGGTCCACTAAAGAGTCCAGGCAATCTTGATGACGTTGTTCTCTGCATTCCAAGAATAAAAAGAAAAGTGACCACCGGTATCTTAAACTTGGGAATAACTAAGAAAAAAAAAAAGAGATCAATAGAACAATTTGAAACCTCGGAAACGTGAGCAATTTAAAACAACAAAAATACATCGTCTTACCGTTTTCCAGCCAAAATGGATTCGTATGCTTCAAGTGCGTCAAATTTTGCCTGGTTTCGTTCGACGATATGCGACAGATCCCTCTTGACTTCCATCAATTGTTGCACAGTATCAAATGATACTTTTAGGTATTTCTTTCGCAGGCCGGATAGATGATTTTTCTGCCCATGAGCATAAGAAAAAACAAATTTGAATAGGTCATAAACAAGAGTTAGAAAGACACACTAAGCGGAAGGAAGACTATAAACGTAATGAAAACCTTCGTATCTTGCATACAATTGCAACTGATCATTACACATTTAAGAAAACTAACATTAACAGTCCCAGCCCATCTTAATACTCGCAAACACCTAAAGATTTCCGAATATGAATGCAGGATCACATTTAAACTTATCACGGTGCTTACTCGGTTTTAAGTTACAAGAAGAGGATAAAAACTAAAGGTTACAGCAAATATTGTTTCAATATGCGCCTCTATAGAGAAATACGAAATCATTTGGACGACTAAATCAATCACATTATCAGAAAGCCAAATCTAAAACAAGTAATGACTTACAAGATCAAGATCCTCTTTTTCAACAATCTCAATATCAGCAACTTGTCTTTCATATCGTCGTCTCAAGTAGGCTTCAACTTCTAATTCCATTTTATCCTGCAAATTGGCAATGCAGCTTGATTAACATCCAGAACAAAACTACGTGCACTGGTTCAAGGAGCATTTCAGATGATATACAAAGAGAAATCGCCATACCTTCGTAGCTGCATAGAAGTAAGGTCGGAACTTGTACTTTGTCTTGAAGTAAAATCCATCCTGAAAAGAAAAAGAAAAAAACAAATCCTCACAACTCAGTCAAATTTCAGAAAAAAAAATGTTATAAAAAAGGATTCAGAGTAATGACTAAAAAACAACTCTCACCTGAGTAACAAAGTAAAGGTCCACACAGCTATAGGTTTTCCCAGTATCCGGATCTTCCCAAGATGACTGCAAAACGTAGTATAACAACCAATCAGTGAATACTTAGTACTAATACGATCAAAGTCCATACTTTGTATTCCGAGAGCCCATAGATTGTGTAATCGAATTCGAACACTACCATTGATAACTAAATTGAGTTCAGAATAGAGTGAGACGGAGACTTACTGATGCGAATGTGAGTAGCCACCCGAGACGTGTTTCCCCTTCGGAGAAAAGCCCGAATCCTAGTTTAGATTCGAGTTCATCTTCCGCCGTGTTCACGACTTTCTGCGTGTTCGATCTCCGCGAGTCCTTTCGATCCCATCTTCGATCTCCGCTCATTTTTTTGCCTAGGGAGCGGCGATTAGTAAATTACGAGTCAGAGTTACTCCTGTATTGGAGATTTCAATCAACTGGAGAAGCTTCGGAGACGAATTCGTTCTGCGACAAAATTAGGGTTTACAAAGGGTTTCGCCGGTGGAGCTTCGTGGATGCAGGAAAGAGAGTGGGGACTATAGAGAGAGAGGAAAGACTTTTAGCATTTTCCCGCGCTTTCGATTTTACTTTTCCCGAATCTAATGGGCCGGTATAGAAGCCCATTTAAGTAACTTCGGATCTGCTCCAACATCTGCCACCAACCCGTTAAGTGGTAACTCAAATTAGATGTTTAAACCAGATATCGGTTTACTTACTGGTTTGGTTTTCTCGGTTTTCTTTTAAAAAAAGAATTTTTCACATCAAAATATTAATCTGGAAATACTTATGTGTTAAAAATCTTTATCAAATTTTTTTTACCAAGTTTTTTTATTTCTACAAAAAACGATTACAGCAAATAACCAGTCATAAATTGAAATAAAATATGTTCGGTATACAACATTACACGTTGGAGACAAACGGGAAAGTGAATGGTTAACCAAAACACTGGTCACTTGGAAGTGGACCAGGAACCGACCCGTTACCCAAAAACTGTAAACCGAACACCACAAGAATGGCTAGAAGCGACAGGTAAGACAAGCCCTCGACCGCACCCAACAAACCGAACGGCCCATTCGGCAAACCCGAACCGGTTTTTGTCTTGGTGTACAGAGACCAGCCCACGATACCTAACACCACCAAGTAGCTCACACCTTCCAACGCACCTATTGAACCGGCCGGTCCTGGAGGTAAACCACAACCAGTGGTCTTCAGAGTGTAGAGTGACCATCCAATTACCGGCGTTGACACTAAACCACCGGCTATTGCTGCATTCTCGAGAAACCCGCCAGTGTCGGTGTTGTCCTTTGCCTTTGCTATGATCCTACATGCCGTTTTTATTGGTTGTCGGGAAACTGTTCCCCGGTGAAACGACGGTGGTAGAGAGACGTTGATCGGAGATAGTATAATCATCTTAGGAGAGAGAGAGAGAGAGATTGGCTCTCGTTACCACAAAATTTTTGGTATGGTGTGGTAATAACAAAACTTCTGGATAAGCTTTTTAACAAGGCTTGACGACCGTTTGATCTATAAATGCATCATCACACGTTACACAATCCTAAGCAAACCATTAACCAATTATGATACGACATGTGTAATTGCAATCTATGTGAACAAAAGACGAGAAGTTAAGGTAAGACTCTCGAATATAATCCAATGTAGAAGACAGATGTTAATATACCTTACAATAAAGAAGATTTATAAACCATTCAAACTGCAGATTTCAACTGCTTTCTCAGAGTATGGGAGTCTAATCCATTACCTATGAGAGCTACTTACCAGTGCTTTGATATCACATCTGGGTAAAATTCCTCTCATGTCCACATGTATATAGAAATAGTTGTGTTATCTCTCATATTGTTTAACTGCTAACAATATTTGAATCTCTGTTTTCTCTTTTTGGATTTCATTTTATTTTACAGTGCCGGTGATGTGTTTCCAGAAGTAGGTTTGAGCTTTGCCGGTGGTGCATCAACGGTCTTAACTCCCCCTCTGGGCATCTTCAGATGTTTTCTAGTGTAAGCGTATTCATACACTGCTTCATGAGTTGTCTTGTAGTGTGGCAGTGATAAACTTCGAAAAAAAGTATAGCTGCTCAACTTTTTTTTTTTTTAGCTGCTCAACTCTTAGCTACAGGTCTGCTGTATCTAGCAAAACTACTTTGAGTTATTTGGTTTGGTTTGATCTTAGATACACTGAACTTTTGGTTTCCAAGAGATAAAATTTACAAGACACATTTCATCTTTATTCTGTTTAAATTGGATTGTGTTTGATTTACATATATCCCACCCTACACTAGGAGACTATGATGGAGAGATTGCAGATAATGAATGTTGCATAATTTTGTTACGTTACAGGTTCTCTGGAGGTGGAGAAAACAGTTGAGAGTTTTTATACAAGTGATTATTAACTTTTCTTGTTTACAAGTTGTAGAGAAAATTGTATATGTTCACGTGAAATCTCTGATTGTTTACTAGTTTCTTTAACTTTAGTTTATGCGGTCGTTTTACTATACACAATTGCTTACTTGTGGTTACTACGAGGAGGCCATAATGTAGAAAACTAAAACAATATAGCCAGCCATATATATATAGGCAATGCTTGTTTGATAGTCGCTGCAATCTTTGACTAGAACTTACACCTGCGATCAAATTACTGTTTGTCTTGCGATTGGTTTGCACTTTGTACTTGACGTAACACGTACAATAATGTACAGCACATGTCAACCTAATGTCAGATCTAGTCGTCCGAAATTGAAACGAAAGCTTATTCTACACACAAAAACAAACAATTCAAGATTCAAAACATGGTTTCACGTGAACAATCCATTATTGAATGTTATTAAAAAAACAGTAATAATCGAGTAAAATAAAAGAGAATATGACAGGCTAACGAAAACCTTCTTCCTCTAACATTAATTCCACGTGGAGTGTGAATGAGACGAGTATTATTAACAAGCGTTGATATTAGTAGCTTTTTTTTTCCTTCTGCTACCGACGAAACGAACACAAAAAGCACAAGTCTTTAAATATCTCTCTACCTTCCATACTCATTGTTTATCTTCATAGCGTGAGAGATCTCTCTCTTTCTCTCTCCACCGACAAAAAAAAATACAATGGCGAACGGAGCCGTTAGATTGGATCTGGACGGTAATCCGATCAAGCCGCTCACGATCTGCATGATCGGCGCGGGAGGCTTCATCGGCTCTCACCTCTGCGAGAAGCTCCTGAACGAGACTCCGCACAAGATCCTCGCGCTCGACGTGTACAACGACAAGATCAAGCACTTGCTGGAGCCTGATACTTCCGAGTGGGCGGAGAGGATCCAGTTTCATCGTATCAACATCAAGCATGATTCTAGACTCGAAGGACTCGTCAAGATGGCAGATCTGGTAATCTCTTCTTCGCGTGAATGCGAATGTGAAGATTATTCAGATCTGATCCGTTGAGAATTGGATTTTAATAACTTTTTTTTGAATCTGTTGTTTTGTTGCGTTGCAGACGATTAATCTTGCTGCGATCTGTACACCAGCGGATTATAATACGCGTCCGCTTGATACTATTTACAGCAATTTTATTGATGCTCTCCCTGTGGTAATGCTTGAGATATGTTTTACTGTTTTTGTGTTAGGCGATGATTAAGATTAGTGTTGTGACGTTGTGTGGTGAATGTAGGTTAAGTACTGCTCAGAGAACAACAAGCGTCTGATTCACTTTTCCACTTGTGAGGTGTATGGGAAAACTATTGGAAGCTTTCTTCCTAAGGATCATCCTCTGCGTCAGGTTTCCACTCTTCACTCTGGTGGTCATGTCATTTTATCTTAAGCATCACCTGTCAAGTGGATCAAGAAACTATGGTTGTTGTTGTTGGTTAGACGTTTTATTCCGATTCAGAGCGTAAAGTCAACTAGAACTAAAGCCTAACATCGAGAAAATGTAGTTTTTTTCCATGCCGGTATCTGAGTATGGCTTTGAATCCCAACTGTATTTGAAGATTTGTGTTTTTTTTATTTGCTTAGTTTTCTTATGGTTCATGTCATGTGGTTCTTACTACTACCTCTGTTTTTGTATATATGTTGTTTCTTCACCACTCACAAATGATGATCGTTTTGTTTTTTGCAGGATCCAGAATTTTATGTACTCAAAGAAGATACATCCCCTTGCATTTTTGGATCTATTGAGAAGCAGAGGTGGTCTTATGCTTGTGCTAAGCAACTGATTGAGAGACTTGTCTACGGTATGCAGTTTTTCCTTTTACATGATAAGCAAATTTCAGTTGAGGTTCTCATTTCATTTTTTGTTGGTGGTTGCAGCTGAGGGTGCTGAGAACGGACTTGAGTTCACCATTGTAAGACCGTTTAACTGGATTGGACCTAGGATGGATTTCATCCCTGGCATTGATGGTCCTAGCGAGGGTGTCCCTCGTGTCCTAGCGTGCTTTAGCAACGTAAGTATACAGGCCCAGTCCAATAACCCGACTTCCTCTCGTGGCTGCAGCTTAACTGTTTTTACTTTTGGGGTACTTTCAGAACCTTCTGAGGCGCGAACCTCTGAAGCTTGTAGATGGTGGAGAATCGCAGAGAACCTTCATCTACATCAAAGATGCTATTGAAGCTGTCCTCCTGATGATTGTGAGTTTCATTCATTCCTTATCCCTGATGATATTTCGTTTGTTGCATGTCATCTGAATTGCTTGCGGGGATCTTCTCAGGAAAATCCAGAGAGAGCCAATGGGCACATCTTCAATGTTGGTAACCCAAACAATGAAGTGACAGTAAGACAACTTGCTGAAATGATGACTAAGGTGAGAACACTTGTTCACAAATAAGACTCTAGTTTATTTTGGATATACTATGGCACGCTGAAATGCTACAACACAAAAAAAAAAATGGGACAGGTCTACTCAAAAGTGAGTGGGGAGACAGCAATTGAGAGTCCAACGATAGACGTGAGCTCCAAAGAATTTTATGGAGAGGGTTATGATGATAGTGACAAGAGAATCCCAGACATGACCATCATCAACCGCCAACTTGGTAATCTCTTTTTTTTTTTTTTTTGGCCCCTTTGTTTCTTCAAACGAAATACCAAACCAATTGTTGATCTGATATATTTGGTGTTGCTATATAATTAGGATGGAACCCGAAGACGTCTCTTTGGGACTTGCTTGAGTCGACCTTAACTTACCAGCACAGGACCTACGCGGAAGCCGTTAAGAAGGCCACCTCAAAACCAGTCGCATCTTAGAGGTCCCATCATCACCTCGAATCATTTGGTGGCTACTATTCCATTCTTTTTGTTTTTTTTTCTTTATTCACTCAATATCACTAAAAACAGGCCATTTAAGCGAGTATCATGGTCGTTGGTTCTAGTTTACGCGTTATTGCTATATAGTATATGTTAATGTCTTAAAATTCGTTCTTGAGGCTTTATATCTTTGTACTTTGTCCGAAACTAAAAAAGGAATGGTTTGTTCAAAACTTTAACTTTCATGTGTTACATCTCTCTGGTGGATTCCACACTTCAATTGCAATGTTAGTGAATATATATGATCTTATTTGAAAACACATTAGGATCTAACCAAGATTTCAGTAAATTGGTTTCCCGATTTATATTACAAAAGTGCATGCGAAATAGCTTTCATATACTATAAAACAACCAGAAAAATACACACTAAAGCTAATCATGAGAAGTCAAGAATACGTAGACATTTATATATATTTTAGGGTATTCATATTGTTTTGTACCTGAAATGCATAAAATCAAATGCGTTCAATGGAAAAGAATTCACAAACTCTGGCACACATTACATTATTTGTTCAATATCTCTCTCGCCTCCTTTTTTGTTGTTGTTATAATTTAGACTACAATCAAAGGAAATTTTCCTTCTTTCTTAAAAAGAAACAAAAAAATTTCGAAGCACACCAAAAAAATATTTCACAAACACATTCAGTCGCTACCGAGCGGACGCAGCAGCGGCAGTAGTACATAATATGCACCGTAACCGCGACCTCCCAGACCTGTCTCCATCATTACTATCATCTTCTTCCTCATCCTCATCTTCCTCTTCCACACCGTTATCGTAGCCATATTCATATCCCGAAGAACCTTTGGCTGTCTTATTGTTGCTGTCGCTGAACGCAGCATCCATGAGACATGTCATGTGGTAAGCATGACAGCAAAAGAAGACCACCACGGTGTCCCCTCTTATTGACACCGGGTCGAAGCACATGCAACAACGTGTGTCCCCTCGTGTCTTGGACTTCACCTCTGTCATCTTAATGCTCAATGATTTATCTACTACCATTCTCTGTGAGATTGATCGATTGTTGTTGTCTTCTCTCTTTCCACGGGAATCGTCTTCTTCGTTGCTGAGGCAGACCCCACGTCTCGCCTCGTTGAAGCACTTGACCAGAAGATTAACAATGTCCGTCTGTAAAATTCCACATGTACAACCTCCACAACGTCAAATTCCCTGGAGCCGGTTCTAGACTCTAATGAAAAGAGTTACATTGGTGACACTAGATTTGTACCTTGAGAATGTCATTGCAGCCGTGTCTAAGAGATGTCTCGGTTCTGTAATCTGTCACGATTTTGACCAATCGATCCCTTAGTCTGAAAGCAGAAACAATGAGGAGAATATTATTTTGGCACCAAAATGATCAAAAAGAATGTGATTCGTCAATGCTCTGTGTACTGTGTACACACATAGCTTTGTGTAAACCAAAAGGTTTGGCACCACACCACGTATAAGAGCGGCCATTAGGTATACGAAGAATAAGGGATTGAATTAACTCGAGAACAGAGTATCAGCAGGTCTGGGTAATAGTTAAAACTAACCGAGGTATTTCCAAGCCATTTGGGACCATATTTACGATGTAAAGAGGGTCAAGGTTGCCAACCGTGTGCTCCAACAGCAAGCCCACCTGATATTGGTGGAAAGAAATATCAGATTAATGGAAAGTAATATGCGCACACAAGTTTTCTATAATGGAGGTTGATTTGTGGGTGATGATTCAATTCACAAAGGCAGTTTGTACCATCTCGGGCCTGTTTAGACATTGTTTTATCAGTTCTTCCCAGAGATCATCGTCGTGCTGCATGGACACAAATTCCACAGCCTGCAGAAGATCGATAAATTTTAAATACCATAGCTCGTATTATTTATACCCAGTCAGCAAAATATCAATTAGAGAGTGAAAGAAGACAAGTAACTGAACACAGTATTACAAACAATTACCTCTTCTATATCCCCCAGTTTATTTATGATGACAGCAAGAGCTTGTTTTGCATTTCCCATCCTCCCCAGGACAAAAACTTGTTCTCTTAGTAGATCTTGCTTCACACAAAGTTCATATGCCTGAAATTTTGCAGGAAATTAAGTTCACATAGACATAACCTACAAACAGTTCATTTCAGCCAGCTGTCTAGCTTGTAATGTTGACTACCTTTTCTAACTTGTAATGTTGACTGCTACGTAGGAATGGAAGCAGCATCTTAGTATCGTATTCCGCATATAGTTCCACCTGCAGTATGTATATATTTAAGAAAATAGTTAAGTAAAAGGAGAAAGAGAAAGAAGACAT